GGCCACAACCAGGGCCAGCACCCACCTGCTCATCAAGGCCGGCCTCGGGCGTGGAGCAACGGGTGTCCTCGCTGGACAGAAGCCGCATGGAGTCACGGGAGAGGGGGGTGAGGGGGGCAGAGAGCAGTTCGGGGCTGATGGGGCTGCGCGGTGAGTGGGTGTGGGACAGCTCCGAATGGAAGTGGCAGTTGCCCACGTCAGGGGATGCCGGCTGGGGAGTCGAGGGGTTCCCCAGCTGGGGGGTCGTCCGTCCGTCTGTCGATCTGTAAGACCTGAGATAGGAACACATTGGAGAACCTGGTTTCAGTCCCAGCTGCGCTTCCACCGACACAGGGGCCCAGGCCACTCACTGATGCCACCGCTTCCACCGCCCCCTCCTCGGGAGCAGGCGTACGATGGGGAACGCCGCGGGGATTTGGTGCGCACACAAGCAGGGAATGCCGCAGCCCAGAGGTTAAACTTATCCAGGCTCATCTTTGTCCCATCTCCACTGTCTCAATGCGGCTTTGCAACACTGACGCTGCTCTCCTAAGGTTACGTGTCCCACACATCTCCTACGCTGCTAGTGCTGCATAAATACCACGACGAGAAGCCACCCTATGAAATCAGACACTTCAAAATCGGTTTCTCCAACTGTTTCCACCATCCACATGCCATGTGACACCAGGCAGTTCAAGAACCAAGCGTAGTGAATCAGTAATGCTGAAAATGCAGCCAGTTCAACAGTTGGGCGTAGGAGGAGCACTGTGAAACCCCTAGACTTCAGAAGATTTAAAACAAGAATTAAGAAAGTTTGAGCACCTACACAGATTCCCAGATAAAACACGCCCAGGCTGCAACCAGAGAAACCTAACTGGAGTCCCCACATCTGTGTGCAACTCTTCAAGACGAGCTGCAACAGCAAGTGGCAATCAAGGATTGCCAAGGATCAGATTCCAAAATCTACCTCGGCCAAAATGTTCATCAGAACATACAAACCCAGCCCCAGTTAGACTAATAAAACAGCTACACCTGCAGCAAGCCAGACAGAGTCAACGTGCTGAGTCAAGATGCAATTTAAGAGCTGCTACAGGAAAAAACCAAACCAATCTGTTACATACATGAGGCAGGAAGACCACAAGACGCTCAGCAGATCTGCTGGAGCAGGTCACAAGGAGAATGACATTTAAGGGAAACTAAGCGAGTTCACCCCAGTGTTTACTGGTTATTACCTGGCCCAGGTACTCCACAGGCAAGGAGCAAGGTACTGGCTGAATCACACCAGCAAGAAGTTATCAGGCCATGAGGGGCTCCAACCACCTCTAAAGAAAGACTAAAGTAGCTGCAGAGAACAATCCCTGCATCAGCCCAGGCTGCGAACTGAGGGACCGAGCAAGGATCCTGCTGAGGAGGAGCTCGGGATGTGGCAACTGCCAAGCTGAACTCGGCCAAGTCACTCTCAGCACAAACGCAGCAGACCACGTCCTGGGTTGCGCTGAGGAACGTGGCCAGCGGAGCAGGGATACTTACATCCCCATCTCTCCCTGCTGGGGAGCTGCACTGGGAATACTGGCCCCAGCTCTGGGGGAGTCTCCATCCTTGGAAGCATTCACGCCATGGCCAGACAAAGCCATGGCCAACCTGGTCTTCTGCTGGCAGCAATCCTGCAGGAGGGCTGGACTAGAGACCTCTGGAAGTCCTTTCCCATCAGCATTTCTAAACCTATGAGATGAAGTTTGAATTCACCTCAGTGACCAAGCCAGGACCTCAACACAGCACCTTTCACCAACGTCCTCACAAGAGGGTCTTTAGAGAAACAAAGTTATGGTGAAGTGCTATCAGCTGTGAGAAACTGGCTGAAGAAGTTTGCAAAGAAACACAAAAATGTCCCACGCTCCACCAGCACTGGGAAATGCAGCTGCAGATTAAACGAGGCAGCAGCAGCACAAATGGAATTTGACAAATGCTACCTTTGCATTTGCAGAAGTTCTTGCAGAAACAATCTTGCACGATCGCAGACACCCGACAGGGCTAAACTGAAACCACAACCAGACGAAGACGACCGGGTGCATGTTTGCATGCAGTTGTAGTTCAGCACTCATCTCTGCCCAAGTGCAGAGTGGTTCAAAACCAAACAAAGCATCGGAAATCAAATGGAGAAGAGCGAATCTCTTCTTATGCAGGTTTATGGTGAGATCAACAGCTGGAAACCGTGTGCGGTTTTAGACGCCCACTCACAAAAAGACACTGCAGAAAGGGAATCAAGTGTCAAGCGACCAAAGGGAGGGAAGGACACGTATATAAATGGAACAGAGAATTGCATTGCTGAAGCAATCGAGCAGAGATGCGACAGCCAGAGTAACACTGAGAACAACCACTGTTCCTTGTTCTTGCATGAAGGATGCCTAGCTCAGGTCTCTTGTTTTCCTCTGGATTCCCAAGCTGGTGCACCAGCCTCCACACTTCTAGAGCGGTGAAAATGCTTGAGAAAGCAGAATCCAAACAGACGGTGCAAGAGTTGGCTGGCTGCAACTTAACTTTACCCCAACCTAAGCAAGACTACACCCCACTCCTACAAGGGCTCCTCAAGCTGCTCTTGTGGATGGCGATCAAACTTTCCAATACCAGCACAAGCTTTTAACCATTTTCATGGATCAGCCAATCTAATAAAGCTGCTCCCAAGAGCATCCCACTCTGTTGGGAACGACACCTTGGCCAAGAGAAACCCACTGCACCCTCTTTGCATCCCAATGCTGCTGGTGCACTGGGGCAGCCCCTGCCAGCACCGTGGCGGTGCCGAGGAACCGTGCCGGCAGGCGTACCTGCTGCCCCGCCGCTGCGGGGGCATGCTCGTGCTCCAAAGCCACCGGGCCCGCTCCATCTCTTCACACTTGCCATGCCGAGCACCGAAGGCCGAATCAGACAAGTCCTCGATCTGGAAAGGGAACAGTACAGGGCTCGGTCAGAGCTTTCCTAGATTAAACACACATCTACGTGGAGTTTTTCCAGCTATAGCATGAATCTGGAGGGAGGCAAATGGTTCAGTGAGTGCAACAGCACCTTATTAAACTGAGTCTGCATTGCTTAGGAAGAGATTAAGAACTAAAAACCAAAGGAAAGCCACTTATCCCAGAATGGAAGTGTTCACACAGAGGTTTAAGGAAATACCATCATTATCAGTTTAGCTAAAATAATAACTATAGCGGTGTGAGTGGTCACAGTTTCTTGATTAGACTATTCCATAAAAAGATTGCTGCCCAGAGAGGTCTCCTGACAGCCATTAGACCTCAGATTCAGCTGTACCCAGCCAGTCAATCCAACTTCTGCCTTTCCTGAAAAGGAACTGACACCAGGCTGGTTTCTACAAGGCTAATTGTGCCATTTTTGTTGCAAAAAAGGAAGAGACTCCGCACCTCCCTGCTGAGATCCCTGTGTCCACTCCCTTCCGGCATCCTCTGTGGACACTGTTCAGCTGCTACCAACCCCATCCCGCGCTAACTCGGAAATAACACTCTTCTTACCTCCTCATTGTCTTCATCAGGGTTTGCTTTCAGAGCACTGATATCCACTTCACGCCAGCTGCAACACACAACATCAGAGGGCAGTCAATCACAGGCACAGCCAAGCACAGCAGCGCATGCCCTGCATGCACTAACACTGTCTTTTGGGAAAGAAAAAGTACAAGCCTGCCACAATGAGCAACATACTTAGGCTCAGTTTTAAGCCAAGTGGCCACATTTGTCTACCAAAGTCCCTCCTGTGCTATCAGACAACGGTTTCTCCCCCTCCCCTATCAGCCTGCTCCATTTTGAGCACAGCTTTTTGCAGTGGGTTTGCACCCACTGAGTGCAACTCTGGGGGACAGGCAGGACATGTCCTCCCATGTTGGAAGGAATGGAGAGTGAGGCTACCAGTGTCCTCCTGCTGCAGCCCTTCCCTCCTGCCTCCTTGCCCAGCTCCTGGCGCTGGTCTGGCAGCGTGGGTGAAGCCTGCCAAGGGCAGAGGAAGCAGAGCAGATGCTGCAGCATCTCCTCCTCTTCCTCTGGCTCAGCAACAGGCTCCCTCCCTGCCCCGCTCTGAACAGGGCCTGGGAAGAGCATGTAGGACCAGGAGGAAGAAAGAGGTAAGTTGGGAAAGAGACCTGGAGAACTGGGAGAGAAAAGGACTGGAAACTGGGCAGTTTGCATGAAGAAGCTGCACCAGTGCTGCAGCAAGTCGGCACACTCCCACGGAGCACTCAGGTGTGAAAACCAGCAACTGATCTCATCCATGGTGTTGATCCAAGAACATCCAAACAAGGGCTGACAGCTCACCTCCTTGCACTCAGCTTGGGCAGAGAAAACTTCTGATTCCTACCACGTCCCAGGCATGGGAGTGCATCTCCTGGCCGGTGGGACCCAAGGCAGTGGCCCTCCTGCTCTGCAACGTTAACCCAGCCCAGGCACCCACCACCCAGCCCGGACACGTGCAGAGCTGGGAAACCACCAGGACCTTTGACTCAACACACTCAGCAGCAGGACAGAGGACAACCAGGATGACTTTAGATTGCACAGAGAGACCTGAGCAAGGCAGCTAGCTTTCATGCACGAGGGACACTCAAACAACATGTTCCCTAACTCAGCAAGTCTGCATCAATGATATGATCAGAAGTTTTCCAGACCTTCTCCTACTTTCAAGAAGAAGAAAGCCCCTTTCCTCCCCAGGAAAGTTGCACAGCCTGGGATGTGACAACCCCGCTGGAACCGGGGATCAGGCACATACCTGGGTGTGAGGATCTCTTTGTACTGCAGTTTCTCCACACGAGTCGTTGCAGCGACGGACATCGGGATGACAATGTTGTTAATATCGAATGAACTTTCGCCTCTCCTCCTCCTTGGCTGCTGTAACACGAAGACAAGAACCACGTGAGAAAGGGTTGTAGGTTTTGTCACGGTAAGTCGTTGATGGAAAAAGGACGTGGCCTCATATGAAATGGCCTCGTATGACCTATGGAGACTCCAGAACCAACAGCAATTTGCATCAGAATGGAGTTCACCTACTGCTTGCTGGAACGTCCTCTTCCCAACCAAAAATCCTTAGTTTGTAGGGTACAAACAAGGGCAAGGGCTGCAGTGGTCCTGCAGGTGCTGAAGCAAGGTGAGCAAGGGCTGCTGAGCTCCAGCCACCATCTCCACACTGGCACCAGCCGCTGCACAGGCGGGTGGATCAGGAGATTGATCCGGCTGATAAACTGACACAGCAAGAAGGAAAGTCTCCCATATAATCCAATTCCCTACTGCCAACGTAAAGAAAGCAGTGAGACCATCAGGAAAGAGGGAAGAATGATCCTGTTTGGAAACAGCCCCACTGCTCATGTCCCTGCAGGGGTGTGGACCCGCCACAGGTGACACTGTGACAGAGGAGGAATGTGAAACAGTCAGACAGAAGTTCATCTCAGGTTATGACAGCTGTACGAAGAGCCTAACAGCTTCCATCTGTATCGTGCTTTTGACTGGAATAGATTTTCTAAGACAGAAATAAGCTCCACACTTATCTATTTAAACCTGGTTGAACGCTGGGTGCTCTCCTACCATCTGTCTATCCAAAAACCTCCCCCAAACCTGTGACAGCAGCAACTGCCGATACAGCGACATGAATCCTCATGGATCAGCTTGATACGGAAACGGCCCACCTTCCTAACAGACTCATCTGCAATTTACCATGTTCTCTGCCTCCTTTGATCCCTGCGGCTTTTAGCATAGAAACACGCGGGAACCCAACTGCCAGGGACCTGCCACAGCCAAATCCCGGAACTCGCGTGAAGCTGGATGAGGACGGAGTGCGTTGGCAATTATTGCCACGGCAGCAAGGAAATCCCAACGTGTCACTGCCAACAGTGAGGCTTGACCCACCCGCCAGGGAGCACATGCAAACCTGCGCCAGACTGCGATGCTTGAACCCAGGACGCGGACCGTTGAGCCCAGAGATCAGACCGCAGCGCCCGCAATGCTCTTGCGGGACTTGGCGGCTGAAGGGAAGACACTTCATCCAGCTTTTCTGAACGAGCTTGTGAAAGAGCAGCAGAAAAAGCAGCAAGAGAAGACCAAGACATGCGTGCGAAGCACAAGGAAATGTCATCTTGACACACTAGAGCTGCTGAGAAGAGCTGTCCTCTTCTCCAAAACACCTAGCGCATTCAAGCCAAACTACCACTGCTTGTTGGGTTCTTCAGTCACTCCGTGCCGTTACAGGGTGTGTCACTGATGTCACAGCTGCGAACTGGGTTCCGCAGTGAAGGAACCCAGCCAGGACCTGGCAGTCCCAGAGCAACAAGCTTGGAGCAAGGACGAGGGCACACAAGGTTGAGCTGGAAGTGGTGCCCTCAGCTCTGCCATGGACAGATGCCTCTTAACCACCCTGGTTTCACTACCAGGGTTTGAGGAGATCTGCTCCGTTATCCCTGGGTCACAAATTACCACTCAGGCTGTGGCACTAACTGGACTGGCCAGACAGAGGCCAGGTTCTTCACTGGGACACTTAAGAGTTCAGCAGAATTCAGCCCTTTAATCAAGGGCTTCTGTTGATGTGGGTCAGGCACTGGGAGGATGGATGATGTGTGGCGGAGGAGCTGTGTCATCGATCTGTCCCAGAGCACAGCGGGAGGGAGTTATGGTCCTGCTCACTGACAGCTTTTAGACACAGCTTCGCAAAGGTCCCAAATCCTGTCATCCTTTAGCATTTTGGGAGGCTGAGCGTGTCTCAGAAGACAGTATGAATTAAGCAACTGCTGAAGCTTGCGAATAGGTGAAAGTTAAGGTCTCAACCACCACTGTTGTACCACTGCCCTGTGACTCAGCCCCAACCCCGTTTACAGCCCCGTGCCACCCAGGCCATGAAGGGAAAACTACCTCAGTGGAAGCACCATTGTACCAGCAGCAGCACACTGCTGCTGCTCAGCTCTTCTACTCCTCTTTCTGGCATCCCCAGACAACTTCAAAAACCAAAACCCGAACCTGGATCAAAGCCAGGGGACTACTGAGAACAGGAACATTTACCAGCAGTTTCTGAGCTGACAGAGAACCTGTAATTGCAGCTGACTGGCTCTCTGCACAACCAACGTCAATCCAGGAACCCCAGCAGACCCAAAGTCAGAGTAAAAAAGAGGGCCAGCAACTCTACCACCAGCTGAACCAATGGGTCCAGCATGGTAAGAGAAATAATAAGCACTCTCAAGCCTAAGACGCCTGAACTGCTCAAAAGCTGAGACCCCCATGGTGGAGCTGAGCTCAGAAACCTCTCCAGAAAGGCACTAGGTACTTACGGCTGTGCTGGAGGTGCCCTGTGAACTCGTGCTGGCAGGAGCGGAGCCTTCCGAGGAGGTGGACAGTTGCCGTGCTATAGGGCTGTGAGGTGTGGGGGTTGCAGCTGCTGACAAGTAGCTTGGGCCACCGACGTCTGTGTGATGCTTTAACACTACACAAGGAGGGTGGGAGAAAATGAAGAATGACATCAGCAAAAAAAAAAAAAAAACAAAGTGGGGTGATGGTGGATAGAAAAGGACCATGTGCACCAGAAATGGCCAGTGCTGAGGAGCACTTTGCATGAAAGAGAAGCACCTTCTGATGGCGGCTGCCAGCTTGAGAGGCCCTGGGGGAAGAAGCAGTTAGAGCACACGAGGCATTGCTGCGGTGGCGACAAGGCCCAGAAGCAGTGCGTTCCCCCTTCTTCGAGGCTGAAGGGGGAGAGAGGCTGGATATGCAGCAAAGCCCAAGCTCCCCCCGAGAGACCTGGCCGTGGGAGCCTACCTTCACTCCTCTCAGATGAGCAGTCTCGCAATCGCTTTTTGTCATAGGCAGGAGGCTGGACAAGCGAGCGCTCTGGCGCTCTCTCGGCCTTGGACACGGCCATAAAATCGTCTAAAGGCGGCCTGTGTGCCTTGTCTGGTTGGATTTTTTGATGTGAGCGCTCTGAGGAGGGGAACAGAGAAAGAGCTATGAAACGCCTGTTTTCACCTCTCTTTCTGTTGGCACAGGAGACTCGGGCAGAGTTTACCAGCTCCATAAATCCAGACAGGTCGGGCTCAACACCATCAGGGCGCTGGAGAGATGTGCTCAGAGCAGAATGAGCTGTAGTACGGCCCGTGCCAGCATGAGCACAGCCTCAGACTGAGCAAGAAGAGGTCCCTACAGACTGAGACCAGCCTGAACTTCACAACCTGCACACATTTCACCTTCAGCCCTGGCCTGCAATACCATGGCCTCATCCCCAAGAGCTTAATTTGAAGGGTATCCTCCTCTCTCCTCCCAGATTGCACGGCTGTCGGGTACAAGACTGGGCAATGTTTCTGGACGCGGTGGAGGCAGGGAGGACACTTACTGGCTGCAGTGAAGAACGAATTCACCAGCTTGTGGCGGTCCTTGCGAGCAGGGTCAGACAGGCTGCTGGTAGGCATGGGGGCTCTGTGCTTGAGCGAGAGCTTTTTGGGAGGTTTCATTTTCTCGTAGGGTTTGTTCTGCCACTGAGATTTCAACATGCTCTGGAAGTGCAGGCTCGTCGGCACATCTGCAGAGGGACACGAAACACAGCATTCAAATTAACTAAATTATGCACCAGAAAGCTGCGGTACCATAATCCTCTCCCAGTCCCCCAGTAAGAACAGCCCCCCACAAACATACAGGCATTGACTGTAAAACCCAGGCTTGCCTACGCCTTCCTCACGTTCAGGGAGGACCTGCAATGTTAGGACCCAACATTTCTAATCTGAAGCTCTTTGAGAGAAGCACATTCCTATGGTATTCACAGCCCAAGTATATCCTGGCAGAAGAATGAAGCCTTTGTCAGAAAAACCATGCGTCTTTACCACTGAAGGTATCCCATGTACTGCCACGCTCAGTTCTGCTATCTCAGATCTGACTTCCAAGAATCTGAGATATCTCAGCACATCAAATCTACAGAGGTACGGGCTGGAAGAGAGAATTTCAGCTTAAATCCTCGATTTCAAGTCAAGCCAAAAGCCAACCAAGTACTGTATGACGTTAATCCACCCGATGTGGCACCTCGATCATCTAAGGAAAGTTGTGAGCACACTTCACAGGCTCAAAGAGCAGAAGTACTGCTGCTTGCCGGGAGCTCCCCAGGCAGGGGCCAGGTCATGCAACCATCTGCAAGCAGGCAAACTCACGGGTAATTATCTGGGTAATTGATGCATTTCGAGCCTGAAGTTTCTGTGCATACCACAGATCACGGTAATCCATAGTACCTGTCCCTATTTAACCCTGCCGTCTCACAACGAGCACAAGTACGCTGTACTGCTGTGAAATTCGGCAGACACTAGTTTTGCTCACATTCCTCAAGCTTCGTTTCTCCCAAATCCCACACAGACGTGCACTCCTGACCTTAGCTGAAACACAGAACACGAATGAGATTATTCAATGTATTTCTTGTGCAGATAGGCTAAGGTAGACTATAAAAAACATTAACTGGAGTAGTAAACTACTCTAGCCTCAGGAGTCCCACAAATAAGCCTTCCTTTCATACTCATAGCTTCAAACTTCAGATTTGATCACCAAATACTGCTGCCTAAGTCTCCTCCAAGAGCCAGCTGTCTTTTATATGCCTGAGGGCCAAAATCCTAGTTCAGAAAAGCATTACAACCTTTAGGGTTAACAGGAGAACTACTGAGACATGAATTTATCTTCTCCAACTACATCCATAAGATCATTATACACCAGCATTTGTGGTTTGACATGCCACCCATCTGCTCTCCTCCCCCAGTACAGACCAGCAGACCGTTGCCAGCAGGACACGCAGCCCGATGCAAACTCACACTGCCACAACTAGGAGTTAAAAGCATTAAAATGAGCATCAGTAGTACAAACAGCCCTCCCCCACATCTCTCAAGCTCACATGACATTTTCACAGGGACTTTGAAGCAACCCTGAGCAGAGATGAACCTTCCCAGGCTCTGCACAAGGAATAAAGCTCCCCACTCTGCGCCTGCAGAGGGGACGTGGAGGCAATTAGGAGCTGCCGTGGGATTTAGAAACTGCATCTAGATAATCTCAGAGGGCACGTGGCAGAAATTCAAGCCTTGTGGGTAGTCTCAGCGGCTGATATCTGAACCCCTCCCCAATATTTCCCCACCAATTCCAGGGACTGGAAAGCCCCAGCAGATCCAGGCAGGCAAACAGGATGGAGAGAGCCGGCAGAGCACGGGCTGGAGTCGGCTGTTATTAATAAGGGGAACTTGACTCTCAGGAAAAAGCCAGGACAGCTGCATTTCAAGTACCTTCATGGCTAAAGCTCTGGTTTAGCCCCATCCATGTGCTAGGGAAGGGCTATCACAGTGCGATGGCAGCTCTTTGGCCACCACTACTGGTTTGTGGAGACGTGTCCCAAAGAACAGAGAGGGGCCAAGCCAGTCCTTTAAGGACGTTGCCAGCGAGGCTGCAACACCACTGTGTTGGAGTGGTCTGACTTTGGGAAAATGGCCTCCTCTCTGTTAATTTTTTGCTTTCTCCTGAAAATTCATCCCATCCCAGCAGCCCACATATCTGTGGAAGGATGGGACAGGTCAGAGGGAGGGGGAAAACGCAAGACAAAACACTGTCAGCAGAAAATGAGTTATTTGCTGGTTTGCCACTGCCCTGCTGTCAGCACTGGTTGCACCAGAGTCCGTGCAGCAAGTGTCACCGTCACTCCTCCTCGGCCGAGCGGTGCAGGCCTCCCGGGGACCGGCAGATGGCAACCACACTGAGCCCGAGAGCCCCGGCTCTCATCCTCCCCACCAAGGTTATTACATCATCTGAAAATTCCCAGCGAGAAATCAGATGAACCAGAAAAAAAAACCTGAAAGGAAGGGGACAAAGCGCTTATGAAGCGCAAGTGCAACGGGTTAAAAGCCGCGATGTGGGTGCCCCGCTTGCCAGAAGAATAAATGATCTTTTTCCTCCTGCGGCGCCTGGCAATTTTGCCCTTGGCAAACTGCACCGGAGATCCCTGGCTGCTGGCACCGGAGGAGCCCCAGAGAGACAGGCTCAAAGTGAAAGTCAGCACATGCTCACAGCTCTAAGGCCAGGCTCCATCTAACTACCTCACAAGCTCCTCCAGAAAGTCTTAATGAGCCTCTGCCCATCGGCCCAGACAGTTGGCTTTCAAGGTGAGCCTCCGGAATAATCATGGGGAGCACCAACAGCAACCTGGACTAATAGTCACAGGCAGGGAGACACCCCGATGCAGACTAAAAACGTCAGGCAGAGAGATTTCCCTACCTGAACACGCTACCTGGCTTTATGTTTGGATAGAAAAGTATCCCCAAAAAGCAACCCTAGCAAAACTACATTAAGCATTAGTGAATAATCAAAGTTAATCTGCGGGAGGGAGGGGGGAATGGGTATTCTGTATAGGTGTTTTAAGCTTTACACCATATAGTTTTAAAACCAGAGTTTTTAATCTCATGCAGCCAGAACGGATCTTTTACCATGTGTGCTGGCTGCAGCTGACCCTAAGAAATGGAAAGTGAATACTGGACGAGGTAATTTGCCTGCTGGCCACGCTGCAACAGTACACAACAGGTCTTCTCACCGCTTCCTAGGATATTAGATTTTAACACTATAGACAGAGGATTGCAAGTGCTGTGACATCAGGAAATAAATTTCTGCTTCAGGATTTCAGTGCATTCAGTTCTTTTAGCATTCCTTAACAGAGATGTTTCTTTGGAAGGGTGGGGATTTAGTTTTTAAAAATAGCACCAATTTACTATTTTAGTCTGTTTTAAATATAGTGCTAGTGAAAGATGCCAGATTAATTGTTCCCAGACACTCCATGCGTTTCCTACTATTGCACAAAGCCTGTGCAAAACTGGAATTTAAACCCAAACACACACATTAGCCCCGTGTCTTAACCTGGACCAACCACTTTATATCCTCATGAGAAGCAGGGACACACACCTTCCTCCCAGCATTACCAGTGGTGTTCTCCACCTCAAGCAGCCACACACTCCTACCAAGGAAAGGAACCGCTATGATCTATTTACTGCCTGTCTCTCCTGATAAGAGTACCAGTTCCTATCATTTGTCGTCCTGTATTTTGTGATCAGAGGAAAAAGACGACAGATGGGACGCCAATCTCATGCAAGCCAATAGTTTTTGGTCAAAGAACAGGCTTGTATTTAATTTGGCAGCTTAGGAAGCAAAAGACTCTGGAAACCACTTCTTTTCCCTTGGGAAAAGTCCCTACACATGAAATCTGTGAATACCCCACAGTCAGGGTTGGTTAGTTATTCCTCTTAATGATGATTAACCCTGATACTGTAACACAGGGAAACGAGTGTCTTAACGGGAACATCCCTTCTTACTGTGCCCTCTGAACCACAGAAGATCATTTACAATTCCTTACAAGGTCAAAAAAATTTCCTGTGACTTAAACCAATCCACAAATAATTTTATAGAGATGAACAAACTCTGCGGAAGCAAGTATTTCTCTAGCGGTTTATAGCAACAAAGACACCAGCCTAAGACCCGGGTCCCAGTACAGACTCCCAGACACCACTCAGTTTCCCCACCCCAAGGGGGGCTCCAGGCCAGGCTCCCACAGCAAACAGGTTTATAGCGGAGCAGACTTCAGGTGTAACGCTTTCACGAACCCTTCTGCTCCAGTAAATGCTCTGCTCCTAAAAATACTTGCAGATGAACAAGCTTGGTCATACTCAAGCAGATCTGCACTTCCTCTGGAAGCCCAGGATGGAGGAGCAGGCTCCGGAGCACGCCCAAGCATCCCTTGTAACCCGACTCAGGACCCAGTTTGACAATACCCCTGGCAGCTCCGTGGGTGCTGTGCTTACCATCTGGGAATGATAGGACAGGATGAATACATGAGTCCAGTTGGGAGAGGCGCTCCAGCAAAGGGGCATCATACTGGATTTCCACAGTCGTCGAGCTTCGAGTGCCACACAGAGCACACGAAGGGTTCACATCACAGCTACATCGCACCAGGCTATTACGATGGACCTGGTAAGGGGAGAGAGAATAGTGTCAACATATCAAAGGTCAACATGTCTAAGGGCTCTCTTCACAAATTCCCCTTGGACAGCTCATAAAAAACATCCTAAAGGCTGATTTTTTTTTTTTTAATACCTTGTATAAAACCTGTTCATTTAGTCTCGACTCACAAAAGGATACTTTCACTTTGCATAAACACAACTGAAAACTACTACTCACCAGCACAGATAGTTTAACATCTACTAAATTTGACTAAAAGTGTTTAATTTTATCTAGGTTGAAACCTCATTTATAAAAACCATGAGGCAGCACAATTCAGTTGTCAGAGAGGAAAAAAAGCCTTTTTGAGATCAGATGGATCAGAGAGCCATCACTATATGCCAAGAGCTGACACTTACAGGGACATCTTTACAGAGTGAAAAAGGGTGTTTTTCAACCTCGTTTCCTAAACCAGGACAGACTTTCAATTCACAGATTTGTAGACTTTATATAGTCTTTTATTCACTTGTATGAAACCACTGCAAGCAGAGGCACAACTGGATGTAAATCCCACACAGAGACAGCAACCTATGATTCCCTGTCAAAATGGAAGGATGTATCAAACCAGATCCTGCAGAAGTCTGTTCTGAGTCCAGTATTATTCAAATAATTTCCATTAATGACTTGAATGGTGGAAGAGAGAATACCCTTAAGCCTTAGCAAATAACACTAGAACTGGGAAGGGCTGCAAGCACCTTGAAGGAAAGAGCTGGAATCCCACTCATGGTTACAAATTAAGAGAAACGATCTAATATAAATCAAATATAATTCACTGAGGGCAAATTCAACAAGCGGACGCTTCAGTGACCAGTGAAGAAGAGGAAGAGGTAACTGAGCAGCAGTTCTGCCCAGAGGATCTGGTGGTTATGGATCAGAAAATGAGCATGAATCAGCAGTGTCATACCATTACTGAGAATTAACACCCCACGGGGCTTTATAAACAGGATGGCTGTGCAAGATCCATGAGGTAATCCTGCCACTCTGCTCGGCATTGCTAACACGTGAGCTGGAGGGCTGCACCCAGTTTTGGGCACATATTTCAAGAAATGTGTGTAGCAAACGGAGAGGAAAACAACAAAAAAAATTACAAGATCCAAAAAAATACGTCCTATGTGCAAAAACAGAAAGACCCGTGGCGTGTTTAGTGTAGAGCTGACCACATTAAGAATTACCACATCAACTTTCACACTTCAGGGAGAGCTTCTGAAGTACGAGGACTTGGACTACTGGTAATGACTTTAAATGGCAGCCAAGGCAGGTTGTATTAGAAAGTTTGGTTTGCTTGGTTTTGCTGTCCGAAAAACAAGACTAGCTAAGCACTCAAATAGCTTGCCTAAGGAGGTTTAGACAAACCGTCTGGCATGGTATGAGGATAAAGCAGTCTGATCTGGGGCATGGGGATGCTGTGGGTGACTGCAGGAGATCCCTTCTCGTCCTGTTTCACAAGACCAGTCCCGTTTGCAACCCACTGCAGGCTACAGACCCACTCAACCTTTAAGCCTATTTTCTTTCCTACAGGACATCTCCTGACTTAAAAATTTCAAGTGATGTTGTATTCAGATTTTGTAAAACACTAGGCACAGTTATGGACGACCTCCATTGAAACAGTGAGCTCTTCGGTTGTAATTTCTGGTCACAGCAATCCACAATGACGTGGTGCTAGATGGGCCAGCACGGTCAACTGAACATAGTATTTCTGGACCATGACCTAGCCATCACTAGCTTTCTCTCACATAACTGGAGGAGTCCACACAAATCCTCTGCTATCTGGCACATCTTTTATCCTTTGGAACTGCTCTTCTGAACCATCTCTGGTTATCAAATATATTTGATGAATATAGTCAAAAACTAACGCAGAATTAACAGATGCTTCTTCAAACACCGAGTGCTCAAGTCAGCATCACCTATGGGATAGTTTATAAACTTCCGAATCACTGAAGATCTTGCAAGCAGTCACTGCACGGCTCTACCAGAAATACCCCAGATAAAACTGCCAATGAGTGATCAGTTAAAGCTAATCCAGCTGAGTGAGAATCGATTTTGCTCAAAAAAATGTTGCTTTTTGAACTTCTCTTTAAAACTCCAGTGCCCGCAGAGTGAAAACCCCCGAACCCTTGTGGTAAAGTTTGACTTGAAACACTTGGACTCAAAGGTACGTGGATTTTTGCCATCTATGATTCTGCAATCATGAGAGCTGCAGGCACAAAGAAGGTCCTTATTCCCTCAATTTCTAACTA